GTGGTTTACGTAGGTTGCCGCACGAAGGAATCCGTGGGAACCTATCATTTCGCAGTAATTTCTCGCCACGTCGTCGGTGGCGACCCGCGTAAACGACCGGATAAAATGCCTCCCATCAGATTAACCGGATTAATTAGTCACATATGCGCTCTCGATACCAACATGTTCGTGAGCGCATCAAGAGTGACATCCTTCATTCTCCGCTGCATCTACGTTTCCTCTAAATATTACATCTCTTTAAATCTGCATTAAACATGAAATGTAGTTTGCAAGATAACCACATTATTTTAATGTTATATTTTCAAGCAGTTTCTTTGATACCTCTCAGCTTTAAAAGAATAGCGGCGTTTGATTTAAATGAAAGATAAGTAATACATTTTCACAAATAAAGGATTTTAAAATAAACGTTTATACAGATAGAAATTCGTGGAGAAGGGTAAATAGAAATACCGCCGTCGCTCTTTTTCAACGAGCGTCTCCTCTGCAAATCTCGTCATTGCGAAAATCGAGAGCCATCCGTGCGACTTTCCTAATCACGGACATCTGGACGGTGAGCGCGACGCAATGCGCTACGCGAATTGGGTCGACGGGTGTCCTCAGGATTGGATGAGAGAGAAAGTGTTGCTTCTGAGAGCGTCGGCGGATGCACCGTCGTCGGCTCTCCCACACCGTAGCCTCTCGTTCGAGCATGTGCTGGCAATCGGCACGGAGCGGAGCGACGCCTACTCGCGCGGTCGAACGCGCCGCGGGTGGTCGCGTTTTCCGCGCGCTAACTTTTCCGCGTACTCGCGTGACTCGATCGTCGGCGGAGACGCTTTATTATTCCCCCGCTGCGCGGCGTTTGCGAAATCGTCGTCGGCGAGACGCGGACGAGTCGCGATCGCGCTTGCGAAAGCGTTCCGCGATCGCGAGATACACGATGGGATCTGACCGTTTCCGACAGTCCGCGATGGCGCGTAATTGTTTATTTAGATGCGCCGATTTATCGGTGCTTTTTTCACGAACGGCCATTTGTTTCGCATAGAAGATTATCGAGCTATCGGGTACTTGTTAGAAGTCCTCGCATATTGAAATCGCTATCTCTGTCGTTTAACGTGTATGACGCGGCAGAATTGAACGCACCGGGGCCAACCGGCATTGCAGAATCCAACCGGAGAATCGGCATGACTCGGCCAGACACCGAGAAACGCGCGACCGAGCCGCGTTCGTTACAGGTGTTCGATCGCGTTCTCCGCAGCTAATCGGCTTGCACGATCTTATCGAAGAAAAATTCACCGCGGATGCCGGCGAGACCTAACGAAGTTACTCCTCGTGACATCGCTAAGCATTTGCACATACCACGAATGCAACCAACCGCGAGAGAGGCGAAAGAGGACATTGGACTATGCGTTGATATCGAATGGCGTGTCTCCAGACGCAATTCCTACGATAAAGACACGATTGATGATCGTGATTAAATGAGCGATTTTTCGGCAACGGTGATAAGGACCATCTTTAGTGACTCTCGCGATTGCCGTGCGCAACTTCGAAACCAGTATCAATTCAGTGATTAGCAAAACGGAAGGGAGAAGAAAACAGGAAAAACTTTTATTAGTGCCGTGCGAAACAGAGATTCCTCTCTCCGAGCATCCGAATGAGTTATAATTTTCTACTTTGTAAGAGATACCTGCGTCGCGCAGAAATTACGTCTCGACGTCGATTTATCGCGCGGATATACTTTCGCGCTAACTTATCAGTAGGTACAAGATTACATGGTTTTTCCTTCGTGTCTTGATACGAGGACATAGTTATTGCTCCATTCATTCTCCAATGTCGGATCCGTTTTTGAAAGCAAGAACGATAATAATAAGGCATTATTTTTATATTTCATATTTTACCTAAAAAATTAAATCAATAACTCCGTTAAAGAATTAACGATTTTCTATCCTTGTATGAGTCAAAGTCTTAACTATATGCGAATAAAAGAAGATTTACTCAATTTCTTGAATTTTAACAGATTTTTAATTTAAAATAGTTGCAAAAGTTGTAGTAATGAAAAAGTTAAACATCTATGTATTAATTAATAGACTTTGCTTGAATTTATAGCTTGTACATTTTTTTTGTGAAAGAAATAACATTTTAGTTTTAACAATTATAATTATGATTGAATCAGTTTTTTAAAATGAAAACTTTTTTGCGATAATCTTTGATCCACGAAATTATTCGTATAATTATTATATCTTATGTTTCAATCATATAGATACAATGATAAATAAGGTGCACACATGAAAAAAATGTTGAAAGTCGTGCGCGTTTAGAAATCTCTTTTTACTGTTTGGACAGTCTACGATGTAAGGTGGACTGTCAGAGTGGCCTTTGCGATAATGATTTACGCAGCGCTTGGGATCGGACGGTCAGTATTACGTTGTATTGTGATAAAAACGAATTTATGACGTACGCGGAAGAGAGACATTGAAAGTAATAGATCGGATCGTCCCGTAGCGTGACTCTCCTAAAAACCGCAAGTCCGGTGAAGTCACTGCTTCAACTGACCGTGCAATTTGCATTCGAATTAAAGAAAAACGGAGAAAAAGACAGAGAGAGAGAGAGAGAGTGAGAGAGAGAGAGGGAGAGAGAAGAAAAATAAAAGGGTGGTTTCTAGCAGCGCAGTTATACTACGAGCGGTATGCGCGAAATGCCGTGCGTGGCTGCACACATACGGGACCGGAATGTCAGTGAACGAGATTCCACCGGTCGACGATTTCCCCCGGCGGGAAAAGAGGATACTTGAGAAGGTATTCCGCGACGGGGAATACTTTCCGGTGATGTACGCGAGCGAACAGGTCGACGATTTAACAGCCGCGGTCGCACGAGAACACGCGTTACATTCGAACGACAAACACATCGAGCGCTTTTGTTTCCGTAAGTTTGCACTTGCATTTTAAAATCAATGGATTTTAAGAATAAAATAAAATAAGGTTGTTCGAAACCTTTTGTTTTAAAAATTCTCTTTTTTTTTGTAATCTCCGCAGAATTTCAGATTCTCGAAAAATATCTAGGCGCGCGTAAGGGAAGAAAACATTGACCGACATTAGCCGCAGTGTCCATTCGACGTCGCGTTGTCGTCATCGGTCGGTCGCGATAATGACTGACATCGACATTCGATGCTGGACGATCGAATCCCTCGTCGATTGATGGTTGTGGCTGGAAAACGGGCTATGTTCTTGTGCTCCTGGCCGCGGCACGGCACGGGATACCCGAAGCATCACTCTCTCACGGCCCCGAGACGAAGCGCGACACTTCGGCGTGTATCGCGTAATAGACCGCGAGCGCTCGGTAATTTTCTGCTAATAACTCGCTAGCCTTTGGCCTCACATGAACCACCGGGTATAAAATTGTCGACGAACCCGTCGTACATGCGCCTTCGCTCCGACCATCGTCCAGTCGGCCAACGGCAGAATTGGTATCCCCGTACATTTACGCTAGAGCAAATTTTACATGTTTCGTAAATAAGAATTAATACACTACTAGTATCTATTTTTTTAATTCTTATTCAGGAAGATAAACATAATTTATTTCTCATTTCAGTCGCGACAGGAAAGCAAAGAAGATTGTAGTTTTTTGTCCAACGAGAAATCAGAAATTTACACTTGATCTCGCATCTTTCAATCTCTCCTTATTTTTATATACTATATAAAACAAAAAGTTGCCCGAGGAATGTAGATCTGTCGAGATTTGCAGTACTGGTAGAATGAAAGGAAATTATAATCACGTATTCGAAGAAAATATCTCGTTGAAGTTGTATGATCATGACATTGCTTGTAGTAACATATTGAGATCGAGTTACAAATATAAAAGAAAAAGAGAAGATCTGTACGGGAAATGATCTGCAATGGCGATGAAAAATAAACGTTTAATTTAACACGGTCAACGAAAGATTGGAAAACGTTTAAGCGCAGTTTACTGTATTCCGTTTCCAGGGCGAGACCGCAAGTGTCTAATCAGCTGGTTCGACGCTTTGAATCGTCGTCTTGTTCCATTAGCTTGTACGATATCCGATCTTACACTATCCGGAATCGCCCGAAGCGGATCAGGGCATATTCTTTGAACTGAATTTGAGATTCGTCGAAGAGAGAGAGAAAGAGCCTAGAATAAACTACATTTCGATCCCACCACGACGAGATATCGCGCACTTCTTTGTGTTATCGCAGACCGACGGCGATTCTTACCGTTGTCAAAGCCGACCGCGCGCACGAGCCGATCCCACTCGCGAGGCGGTTATAAGCAGCGACCGGTGCTATTCCGAGATAATCCTCTCGCCCGGTGGTCCAGAATACGGAAACGGCTCGCGATAGAATTCCCGCGATCGTTGGCGAAAGGCGGAGAGGCCAATCATAATAAAGAGCAATAGCGCGAAATATCGGAGACAACTCGTTAGCCTTGTCGCGCAAATAACATCGTACCTGGCCATAAAGAGGTTCTATGTCGATGTAACATGTGCGTGGAAATCGTGGATAATTGGGTAAAAATAAAAAGTATAAAAATAATGTTTAATAATGCGTAATATGAAATTTATGGACATGTAATAGTCTTCCGAAAGAGTACAAATAGAAACGATTATATTTACATTAGTTCTCTAACTACGAGATAATTGAAATTTTAATCAGAATTTTTGTCATTTTTGTCATTGAAATTATTTTAGTTTGATTTTATTAAAATATGTTTTGTATATTTATTTATTTATATTTATACAATTAATAAATATTATTATATAAATTTAAATTAAATTTATTTATATATTAATTATATATTAATTATATGAAGTTAATTTGACATTATAAATTTCCAATATCTCCAATAATTTGTCATTATTATACAATTTAATACTACAAATACTACATTTTATTAACTAGTTGCATAACAGGCAACATTTTCAGGAATTAAAACTTGTTTAATAATCCATCATCACAGTAATATCACAAATTAGTGAGTCCTTAAGATTTGTCATATACGACAATATAACGTATATAATTAGCGTATTATCAACATTTAAACAGCGGATTTATATAATCTTCATCAGGAATTAAAACTCGTTTAACAATCCATCATCACAGTAATATCAAAAATTAGTGAGTCCTTAAAATTTGTCATATACGACAATATAACGTATGATCAGCGTATTATCAATATTTAAACAGCGGATTTATATAATCTTCAGGATTACTATAAAAAGAAAATTATTAATAGTATTAATAAATATAACTAATACTGTGATAAAAAAGAATAAAAAAGATTAGAAAGCCTTATATGATATAAAATGTTAATAATGTAAAGTTAATTCTCAACTTTAAATAAATAACTTTTATAACTCATCATTTGCTCATTATTTGTATGTACAATGTACATGTATGCACAATGCACATTTCGAATATTTGTTTGTACTTCTAGTAAAATACTCTGCAAACGTTATTAACAAAAAAATTTTTAAGGGAAGCCAATTTCATAATAACCTGCCTACTACGAGAAATTTGTATTGAGATAGTCCTAATCGATAAATTTTTGTTTGAACATTCACATATAATTTAATTTTTCGTTTGCACATTTTTAATAATAAAGTTATGAACAAGTAAAATTTGGCGAACAATCAATCCAGTTATAGCTATGTAAACGAAAATTCGAAAAAGATGTGATTGTACAAACAAGAGTTTGTCGATTAATAGATTTAATATTGTTAGGATCATATTGCGGGCTTTAGCTACTAGAATTGACCGTTTGCCAAACTTTATTTGTTTATAGTTATTTTTTATTAAAAATATGCAAAATTTATCGATTAAGACTATTTTAATCCAATTTTCTCGTAGATGGGGAACTAATGTAAGCCCCAAAAATTCTTTTGTTAACCGCGTGACTGCCGAGAATTCTCGTCATTTTGGACTTGGAGTTGGTGATTCATTGTCGCAAAAATGCATTTTTTGTTATGAAATATTTTGTTATATTAGAACCGTTAAGTAATTTTATCACTGAAACAAAGTGTAACTAGAGGTGTTTGGATGTGCTAAACACGATTTTTGAATCCGATTTGCATAATGTTGCCTCAGAAAAATTGAAATTTTCGAATATGCTTATGACATATTTTGTTTCATTAATATTTTACAATGAATTAATGACTGAAACAAGGTACATTTAGGAGTTTTTGAATGTGCTGAACATGATTTTAAACTCATATTACAAAAATTTATAAGATAACATAATAGATAAAGTTAAAATAATTTAATTGAATTGAGCAGAAGCTAAATTCCTAATTTTTCATGACTTTAGCATTATAATCTCAATATAGAATAATGTATATATTTGTATATGTTTTTATATTATTCAAATAAAATATTTAGATAGTTTAAAAAATTTCTACATTTATTGCATACACAACATCAAATTTTAGTTAATATTTGCTATATTAGTTGTCATTTTACGTTTATGACAAAAATTCTTTTAATTTAGCTTGAAATTTGTCATCAGCACCATCAAAAACTCTCTATTTAAACTTTTATTAATTTTCGAGAATCTTTTATTTTTAGCATTTTAGGACTATTCGAGGAATGTGGTGTAGCAGTCAAGGAGTTAATAACGTTTGTACTAGAAATATGCAAACAAAAATTCGAAATGTACATTTATGTGCAAACGATGAGCAATTGAGTGAGTTGTAGAAAGTTATTTTTTTATGCTGTTGGGCTAACTTTATACTGGTTACTAATAAAAAGATTAGTCTTAAAACCAATATTAATATTAGTGTGTTTCAGTAATAGCATAGTTTATAAATTGAACTTGGTACTAACGTGTCAGAAGTCGTCGATGCAGTTGTTGTGATCGCAGTTGATTTGGCAATCGTTATGGCAGGTATGGTTGTGATTTGTGCGGTAACCGGGGTAGTTGTAGGTTGGGCCATAACTGTGGCAATTGGAACAAAATATCAATTAACAATAATAACAATTTTTGCATAACTAATAATTATAAAAAATAAGGAAAATTAGAAAGCTTTATAATATAAGATAATAATAATGGAAGCATTAATTCTAAAGTCAATATGCAGATATTAGTGCATCTTAATAGCAGTTTACGTCCAAAAATTAAACTTGTAATTGGAGACCTTGCAATTGATTTGAAACTGGAATTGATGGTGCTTGTTGCTGTGGCATGTGCGATTGCTGTGAGACTTTTAACGGTTGTGATTGTTGTGAAGATTGTGACTGATTTGTGACAGACGACATAGATTTGATGAATCGCAATTGTGTTTTAGGCGACTGAGATTGGAGCAATTCTGACATAAGCGGCGTAGATTGTGAAAGTGTTGAGGAAGGCAAATACCGCTTCATGTATCGTTCCAATTTTAGTAACTCATACGACTCAGATTGTGCGACAGACAACGAAGGTTGTGGCAATTTTGAGAGAGGCGTGGGTCCTGGCAATTGCCGGACAGTCGACGTGGGTGCTGGCAATTGTGAAACAGGCAACTTGATGAATCGTGCTGGCAATTTTGAGTTAAGCGACTGAGATTGTGGCAATTTTGAGGCAAATGACGTAATTTGGGGCAATTGTGAGTCAAGCGACATAGATTGGGGCAGTTTTGAGGCAGACGTCGTAGATTGGGGCAATTGTGAGGTAGACGTAGATTGGCGCAATTGTGAGACAAACGATGTAGATTGTGTTGCGGCAGACGACGTGCGTTGTCCCAATTGTGCAGCAGACGACGTGTGTTCTGATCTAGACATCTGCAACAAGAGATTGATTATTAATAATAACAATTAATGCGTAATATTTAGAAAAAGCAAGGAAAGTTACGATATCAAATAGAAATAGTAAGCTTTTAGAGAAGCCGAATTAAAATTTGTAGATACTATTGTATACGTATATATATTATAATAATTTAACAATTTATATAAAAATATTGTGCGACGCCAAATGTTTTGACATTTTCTTCGGATCTTCTCCAATGGTATAATATAAAGAAAATTAAAATAAAGTTCCGGTAAGACAACTAAAGCATAATAAAAATCACATGATATAAAAATTACACATAGAAAAGTAGTAAACTATATAAATGTACTGTTGAAATCCTTCTAATTAATATTATACTTTATGCACTACATTGTATATTTACTTACAACAATTTGTTCTGCCGAGACAGAATATATATTAATGGAAAAACACCAATTATACCAAATGATGAAATGCCGTCGAAGGATCCTGAAGATACAATTACTAGGACACATAATTAAATTAAATATTTATTTATATATATTAAGGAGAGAGATCTAACAACAAAGTAGCAAAGAAATAATCAAAATAGTATGTAATAAGTTGAAAAAGACTTTTAATGTAATAGCTGTTCATGATTTTACAATTTATTTTAAACAAATGATGAAATAAGAAAGATTTTTCAGAATTTCGTAATTTGTAATTACATCCTTTTTTAACTATAGTCATATATGCGTTTTATTCACATCAATCGGTTAACTTTATTATACTGTGCAGAAAGTGTTAAAATACGGCTATGGAAAATATTTTAAGTGATATTTTATGTTTTATATCAAAATATTTTAGAATCAAATATAAAATATTTCGCAAACTATTGTTTTTCATAATTATTTTAATATTTCTATACACATAATAATAAAAAAAATCAAATTATATAAAAAAAGTAACATAAAATAACATATTTAAAATATTTCCATCATTAATTTATACATAAAAAATGTATATTAACGTAAAAATTTGATGCATATTTCTAAAATTTTTAAAGCAAAACTTTATAATTATTTTATTTTATATTTTTATTTTTTACTTTTTCTTTTAATAAAGTACATCGTTATGAACTAATTATAGTAGACATAAATTAATCAATTATACAAATTATAAGAACTTATTGTAAGAAAATTATATTTACCAGACTTGACAATATAATTTGGCATTTATAATAATTAACATTATGAGTACACTAGTTCCAAAACCAATAGTAAACCAAACCCATTTCAAGATGTGCAATTCTGTATAATTTATATGTGTAGTATTTGGATTTGTATCGTACTCTTTTGTATTGTTTTCTTTATTTGTAGCATTTGTCAAGAAAGCTATCACATTTTTTGTTACAGCATCTAGAAGAATAATTGCAATTAGCAAATAATTATATCTATTATTAATAGATTAATTTTCTTTATAATAACTATTTATTACATATTAAAGAATTAATTTTATTAAATATAAAATTTTATTATGAATAAATTTATTTATTGATTCAGAATAAAGTTACTATCAATTTTTTATATCAATTTTTAAAGTTATATCAATTTTTTTCTAATAAACATTCTTTATTACTGTATTAATTTTATATATAATTTTCAATACTAATTTTATGATATTAAATATGCTTTTTCTTATTAAAAAATGTTTCAAGTTAATACTAAATTTTATTGTAGTGCTACATATCAATTAGATATCAATATATTACATTATTGTTTTATGTGCGTATATCCTCTTATAACTTCATTTATTGTTTGAAAATATAATAGGTATTACTTGTCACATTCGAAATTTATAT